GGGGTGGGGGGCACACCCACGGTGGTGTGTGTGTGTGTGTGTGTGTGTGTGTGTGTGTGTGGTCACGCCCACGGTGGTGTGTGTGTGTGTGTGTGTGTGAGTCAACCCGACGGTAGGGGCCAGGTGTGTGCGGGCATGCGAGCGTGTGTCGAGGAGCGGGGCAGGGATGGCATGGCAGCCCGCATGTCCCGGCGGGAACCTGGCGCAGGCAGGATGCAAGGCTAGGGCCGCGCTGCGGGGACCACTCGCCGCGGGAGGAGCAGCCACACATGGACAGCGCAGCAGGGGCGGGCGCGGCATTCCATGCACACAGCCCCAGCACACCGTGTCGAAGCGCCCAGTCATGACCGCACCCCGCTCCTTGCGCGGCGCCACCGCCGCCAGCGCGGGTGCCGTGCCCTCGCCCAGCCCCAGCTGCTCGGCAAAGGCGCGGGCCGCCGCCGCCGCGGGCCCCCCGGCGCCGCCCGCCAGCTCAAACCAGCAAAAGTGCAGCGCCTGGTCGCCGCGCCCCGCCGCCGCGGCGCGCACCACCTCCAGCTGCGCGGCCTGAGCCTCGGGGGCGGCGGCCAGGGCGGCCACCACGCACACGCCGCCCTTGGATAGGCAGCTGGCCTCCCAGGACTCAGGGTCGGACACCTGCGGCGGCAGACAGGCAGGCGGGCAAACAGGCGGGCGCGGAGCAATGTGTGGGCGAGTGCTGGAGGGCAGGGCGGGTTGGAGGGGGCTCCTGGTGCTGGCGTGAGGCGGGCGGGCAGGCAGGCAGGTAAGCAGGCAGGCCGGCAGGCCGGCCGGCAGGCGGGCAGGCGGGTGGGCAGGCAGGTGGGCAAGCAGGCAGGAGGATGCCTTCGAGGCGCCCACAGCTGCCACGCCCCACCCTCCCACGCTTCTGCCGAGTGCGGCCCACCTGCGCCACCATGGCGTCCCGGCTCTGCCCGCCAAACTGGTGCAGGGCGTCCTCGGGGGCGGTGCTGCAAGCGGCAGAGGCAGGGGCGGCGTCGTGGGGGCGGGCCCAGGGACTAGGGGAAAGAGATGGGGCAGGCGCGGCAGCGGCAGGAGCGGGAGCGGCCAGCCAGCACGGCGCCGCACCCCCCGGCACGTGCCAGCGGCCGACGGCAGCGGCGGGCTCCCAGCGTCGCAACCCAGCCAGGCGCTCACCCCGTCTGCAGGCCGATGAAGGTCAGCCAGCCCGCGATGCTGCCATAGCGCACCGGCCCCATGTAGGGCTGCACCCCCATCTGCACCTTCTGCCCCGCCGCCGCGGGCTTGCCGTCGGGGCCCGGGTGCGCAAAGAGCGCCAACAGGTACGGCACCTGCGGCACAGCAGCACAAGGGGTGCAGGGAGACGAGGAGGCATGTCAGGCGCAGCGGCGCGGCGGCCCCCATGCAGCACGGGGGTCAGGCACGAGGCAGCGCAGACGCGGCATGCCCGCTGGCGCCAACCCACGCCATCCGCCCACGAAGCCCACCACCCATCCACGGCACGCCGGCGCCACCCACGCAGCAGCTGCGCCCCACCTTCTGCACTTGGAACTGATCCATGAGGGCCTTGTCGGCGGCGGAGGCCAGCGCAAAGTCCATCTTGTACGGGCGGAAGTTTGCGCTGCGGTACGGGGCGGTACGCGTGTGCGGTACACAGTCGACGGTGCAGCCGGCGGGACATGTGCGGTACACACAGGGGCAGGGCACATAGGCTCTGTACAAGCACGCCCAACGCTGTGACCCTCTGCCCTGCTGCCTACTGCACTGTTGAGCGAGTCCCAGTGTACCGCTGTACCGCACCTGAGGGCGCGGTACACCGCGGGCGGCTCCTCCTTGTCGGTGAACAGGATGATCTGCGGGGAGGGAGGGGGCAGGGGCCGGCATGCAGGCTTGTGGTATTGGCCCGCCAAATGTTGGGAGCGGAAGGGATGGTGGCACTGTCGATGCAACGCAGCCCGCCCCACAAAACGGGAACTGCACACCCGCCACTGCACCCCATGCAGGCCGGAACCCCCTGCCAGCCTCCCTTGCTGCAGGAAGCCGCAAGAGGTCCCTAAACCTGCATCACGCATCACATACACCCACACCGCGCGCCACACCGGCAATGCACCCGGCAGCAGCCGCCCACCTTGGCGCGCCCGACGTCAGACATGGCGGCAAAGGCGGCGTACGTCTCCCCGGTCAGCCGCGTGATGCCGGCGGCGGGGAAGAGCTCCACGGCCGCCTGCATTTTATATAAAACGAGCAGGGGTGGGGGTCGTGGGGGGCATGTGGTGTGGGCGATGTGGGTCGGGGAGCTCAAACAGTGGAGCTCACTGGTGGCGCGATGGTTGCGCTCATCATCAACCCACCCAGCCGCCCTCTGCACAGATGCGGAGCCCCTCCCCCCTCCCTCCCTCCCTCCACCCCCACCCCCACCCCCACCTTGTGCAGCTCTCTGGCCGACAGCTCCCCCTGCCAGGGGCGCCAGTCGTCGGCATCCTCGTGGTCCTCCGAGTCGAAGGGTATCAGGAAGGCCTGCGGGCGGGGCGGGGTGGACAGCGGTACTGCGGTACCGGTGGGTGCCAGGGGAGACGGCTGAAGCCAGGCAGACGTGTGGGGCAGCACAGGCCAGCAGCAGCGGCAAGAAGCGTCCGGCCAGCAGCGGTGGGCAAGACGAGGAAGCGGGCGGGCGGGTGAAGGCAGGCGCCTTGAGAGGAGATGCAGGGGACTGGCAGGAGGGTGAAGGGCAGGCGCTGGTGGCATGAAGGCAGCCGAGCGGCCATCTGCTGAATTGCACGCACGGGACACCCGGCGGGGCACGCCCGTTGCCCCGCGCGCACCCCATCCGCCCGGGTCGAGGGAGGGCGCCCCTCCGCCTCCCAACCAGCCACAGCTCTCCGCTGACCGCCGCACCTTGAGCTCGCACCCCGTCTCTGTGGGGGCAGGCAGCTCGATGGAAAACAGGTCTTGACGGGGGATCCTCAGA